CAATCTAGGCAGACCGGAGGGGTTTGGTTTTGTTCTGTTTTGTTTCTTTGTTTGTCTTCCCTACAGTTCTGCCCTTATTTGATTTTCAGGTCTTTCCAACCCGATTCTTTCCATCACAATAAGGGCATAATAAATGCTATATAAGAGCAGTAATAAAATACTCTATGAAGTCGAAAATACCATCAGTCAGCCCAGGACAGGGAAAAAAATCTGTTCACTAAAATGTAGTAATTATGTCTATAAGGTTTGCTTTATTTATTTTATGTATTATTTATTTACAGTAAAGTGATTATTATAAAAGGTCCACAAGTTTAGGGACTTTGCCTTTATTCAATAAAAATCTTATAACTATAATTCAAATGGTTTTTTCTAGGTAATAAGATGTCTTAGAGCTCAGATTTGTAAATACCAAGTTTTTAAATCTCTGAGAAGGGGCTGGGGATATAGCTCAGTGGCACAGACACCTGCCTGGCAAGTGCAAGGTCCTGAGTTTGATTCCCAGTACCAAAAAAAAAAAAAAAAAAACACTGTGAGCTAAAATCTCTGAGAAAAGTATGGCTTTGAGTTCTCAAGGTTGAGGCTGTAGGGCTCCTTTGTGTTTGCTCTTCTTTCCTAAGCCAAGCAAAGACTTGGAACTAAACCTTGAATCTGAGATTGTTGTCGGGTAACTGAACAGATTACATCAAGTTATTTTCTTCACCAAATCCTTAAAGTTTCCTAAATTTTAAAGGAAAAAAATCACAAGAGTCTGTAGTCTGTGAATTTGAAAGAGCTCATTATCTGTTCATTTTCCTAAGTCACAATGACTATTGTGCTTAAAATATTCCTTCCAGCTCCTCTTGAGAGACCGTCTAAAAATATTTAACAGTTTAATGGTTTGATGGCAAAACTCATTAAGATCTCTTCGACCAAAATGTTCTTTCCCAACTATTTCTGAGACAGCTTCATGCTGAGGAAGAAAGAAATGATTCTGCAACCAAGGTTTATCCCTACAGCATGCCTCTGGGTCTAGACAGAATCCAATCTTTTGGACACCCAGTTACTGTCCCTACCTCAGCATCTTACTGAAATATGGATCTTCGGATAGAGAAAGCAGCACCAGAGCGTCAAACTAAAACAAATTAAAATCAGAATCCCACTGCCCAGGATGCTCAACTTGATGTTGGAATGAATGCCTCTGGCTTATCTGTTGCTTTACCAAAAACTGTACTTTAGAAGTGCATTTTCTTTCATTCCATGTGTCTCATATTTCCAACTAACCAGTAAGATAAATTTATTCTTGCCTGCATATCTTACATTTTTGTCTTCTTATCCTTTCCTAGAATGACCTCATTTTAAGGGGAAAATGTTAGTTTCTCTGGAACAATTAAACACAGCAGAGAGCAAATATAGTGATAGACCATTTCAATTAGATCACTGTAATAGAATCCCACTAGTCACACAAATATCCATAGAGTGACTGTAACGTTCTTCTCTACCACGTTGGAAGAATAGATAAGATTAGTAAAGATTTAAATGTAAAGATTTTTCACTTGCCTTAGCCTATACTTAGTGTATAAGTGTGTGAATGAAAGTCGTGTGTGAATGAAAGTTTCACATGTGAATGAAGTCTTTCTCCAAGCGACCCACAAACTTTTTAGAAAACCCATAAGACTAATGCCCTTTTTGGCCACTGCTTCCCCATGTTTTCCTGATTGGGCTCAGCCTAAATGGTCCGTTAGACTCCACTTGGAGTTCAGGCAGTCTAGAGAGAATTAATAAAAACAAATAAATAAAAATGGAGGTAAAGTTGAAAATGTAAACAAGGTCCTTAGACTATCGATATAATATAGTCTAAACAAAATGTAAAGTATAAAGAGGATAACAAAAGAAAAACCTCAAAAAACAAAATTGCTGAGAATTCTGGTTGCCTCACTAAGAAATTTGGATGCATTTAATAAGCAGTAAGAAGTCTAAAGGAATTTCAACTAGGGTAGAGCCTTAGGAAGATGATCCAGTTGATTGATATATTTTTTCACATGAGCTGTGAAATAAGCAGGAGAAAAGGTTATCATATACTTCCAAGTCATTCCATGTTATACTACTAATACAAGGACTTTTTTGGTTGGAATAAATTCATGAAGATTAAACTGTAGCTTAGAGAGTAAAAATGATTAAGATGCAAAATGTATATGTACCAATTCCCCAAGATAAATGTAATTATTATGTATCATAAGCATATCCTAATAAAAAATACAGTTTCTAGATAATCTTAGATACTCACTATTCAATTTTCCCCTCCATTCCATGAATAGGGAAAATTGATCATTTGTCAAGTAAAAGTTTGTTATATTTTTCCTAAATAACCTCTATCTAAGATGTTAAATAATTTCCCCTTAACTTAGGCTTTTCAGAAAACAAATTTTCCTGAAACCAAAAATTCTTTAAAACAAAAAAAAAATGGAAAGGCCTTTTTTAGATGCATCCATAAAACCCAGGGACTTAAAACTCAGTTCTTTGGTTAACAAAATGTTATCAACCTGGATTATGACTTAATCTCACAGCACCAGTCTATATTTTTTTCTGTTTTATGGTACAGTTTCTGAAGGTTGCTATTATTTGTAGAATTAATTCTAAAGTTATCATGATCTGTAAATGACCCTAGAGACCTTTGCCTTGAAATCAGCTGCATTTTGCTAAGACAGAAAGATGAGAATCAAGGTGAGGAAATGGACACAGCAGTGTAAACTGTGAAGCTAGAGCCTGAGTCTTACTAAATATTCAGCATCCTCTGTCCAAAGTAGTTTCCTTTCTTTCTACTCAACCATTGGACCAGATGAAGAACGAAGGTAGAAGAGACTTTTATATGCATACTGCCATACTTGCCTATTTTAGATAAAAAGCAGTGTACTATGAAGCCATTGCAGTGTAGAAGTAAGTAAAAGATGAGCCACTAAGATGTCAAAGTCTTCTTTACATAGGTGGAGAAAGAACCAGCTAGTTCAAAAAACGAGCTAGTTGTTCCACTGGAAAAAATTCTACAGTTAGAAAATCTGAGGAAATAAGTAGAAGTTAGCTTTTAATTTCTAGAGTTTTAAGATTTTAAATCATTTCTAAGTGCTGACAGTGAGACCCTTTGACAGTGAATCATTTGTTTTGGAAATGATAAAAATTGTTAAACAGTTGATTAAATCTTAAGGTCAAATAGATTTATGCAAGTGAAATTAGAATTTTCATTTTTGCAGTGACTGAGTCAGATTTAATATTTGGCTTTTTGATCACTTGATAATGAGTCATTCAATTGGTATTCTACTAACTTCTAAATTAAAATTTATAAATGAAATATGAAACATTTTATGTCCCCAAAGTTTAGTGAAATGGTTCACATAAATTCTACTTAATTTCCAAAATAATTAGATATTCATGGAGAGTAATTTAAAGTATTATTACTAGATATAATAAATCAAAATCACTTTGTGCAAATAACTTATCTATGAGGTTTTGAAAATAACAGTCTTTGTTGGTTTAAAACTGTCTGCCTCTGCAGTTTATGTGAAATCCTTACAGTGCAACTATATTTATTAGATGTAGATGCTGTGATGTCCTTCACCCTAAGTTGGAATTTTTTATTATGCTTTAGTGAGTAGCCTATTCATCATGTCTCCTGAATTCAAATTTTGACAGCAGGCCCTTCCCTTGGGCTGCTGATGAGAGCTGTCAGTGATATTTCTCTGCAAGGGACAAGCTATCTTGTCCATGGTAGACAGGCACTGTGATTTAAGGTTTGCCTAGTTAAAAATAGTCAAGAGTCAATGTCCTTTTGAATTTTGGATTCTTTTCTGCAAATAGCGAAAGACATGCTAACATTCTTAGTGATGGCTATACATCTAGGGCAAATTATTTAATTTTTAATAAGAAGCTAAACTTTCCCCTAAATCATTGAAAATGTGATTTCTCCTTTGCTTTGGGTGGAGGGGAGGGGGGAGTAGTAGTAGACAAAATAAAAGAAAACAAGTAATAACAACAACCACAAAAATAAACCCTTCTTTCCCTGTTCTTTCATTGTTTATCTGTCCTCTACAATACTCAAAGTTCAAAAGACACATGCAAGAAGTCCCAAGAGTTATGACTTTGTACATTATATTACACTAGAATGATGTCTTTCCAGATACAGATTTGTTGCTGTTTTCAAATGGATGTGTGACTTTCTAAAATTCTAAACAAACTGCCTAACTTCAAGTCTGCTGCACCCAACCATGGCCTAGACTACATCACCATGACCTTGTGCAAGTCTTTGTTTGCTAAGCCCTTAGTTTTCTTACTTCTGAAAAAGGAAAGAAGCCTCCATGCATCCATCTCTGGATAGTGACTGCTCATGAGCGGCAGCCAGAGAACCTTCTGAAGGCCAGGGAGCCACACTGTATGAAAACTGTAGAGCTCTTTTTAGCAAAGCAGGTCCAGGGTCTCTTAATTGACATTTCCAGGAGACCAGGAGTTCTTCCCTTGGACAAATTGGAATCTTGACCCAAAGCTTTTAGCCAGGCCATTTGTGAGCCCCCTCTGTGGGGTGCAGACTAACAGAACAGTCAAGGCAAGTGTAGGAAGGGATTGAGAATTGTAATGGCTGACACCATTGGGATGAGGGGAAACGGGTGTGTGCTTCAGAGCCCTGGGCCAAACCACAGTGAACTTTACCACTGGTTCCTGCTGTCATCTACATTGCCAGCCTCCCTGCCACAGATGCCTGAGTTTTATTTCTCCACCCCTTCAGTTGTTTTGAGATTATACCTGGGTCAGTTAGCATACCTAAGGCTCTCGAGCATTTGTCACTTGGGAACAGGGTATAAAAGTTCCTATTTCCGTGCCACAACTGCTCTTCAGTTCCAGTGTGAGTTTTTTCTCCTAAATAGCTATAGAGGTGCAAGGTTGTCTGCAGTCTCTTGGTGCTACCCATTGTGGTTCCCTGTACCCAGCATCTTGAAAGAAAAACACCCAGTGAAGTTACCTCCGATTCCTTTTAGGTTAGGATTTTAAACAAGAAGACCGATTTTAGCAAAGTTCAGTCAAGATGTGGTTCCAAGGATAACATCAAACATTCTGCTGGGGGCGGAAATGTAAGTAGAAGCTTCTGTCAGAAAGCTGCTCTGATTGTGTAGAATCAGCTGCACGACCAACACTCTGTCTCCTTTCCTGCCTCTTTCCCGGCGCACTCCTGCCCTCTCACTGCTGTCGGCGTTTCACCTGGAATGGTAGCTTGTCAGCCTTGCACTTGGGGTGAGGGGCTTCCCATCCTGCCCCATACAATCACCAGTGAACTTCTTACTTTCAGCTGGGAAGGTAAACCTTGCTGGGATGCACCATGGTTTTCCTGAGGGTGGCAAACCGGCCTCACCTCCCAGCTTTTTTTGCAGGCCCTCTTGTCTTTGAAGCTGTTCCCTCATGCTGTCTCTGTTTTCCTATAAGAATTAGCTGGGCTCACACTGTTCTAGTTCCACTTAAATTATCCTTAAGGCAAAAACTGATGATACACTTAAAATGCCCAACGTGTTTAATGTCAATCTTCAGTGGTTCATTATTCATGAAAGTTAGGCCATCATTTAGAATAATACCAAACTGCTGAAGCATGCTTCGTCTATAATTTAAAGTGAGAGGATTCAAGTTCCAGTGTACATGTTATCTTTTTTTTTTTTTGTACATGTTGTCTTGATGGGATTTTTCCAGTCCTTTTCATTTAGTGGAAATAATATCTCATGAGAAGAAGCGAAGGATGAATCCACATTTTGTAAGTGTGGTTGAGGCATAGTTGAAACAATCAGGCAAAATCAAGCTAAAGGAAGCATGATTCTTCATAGAACAGGAGTAATTTTTGAAAGGTGAATCATGTTGACTATTCTACAGATCCTGTCATCTAAAACAGGGTCTGATAGTCTATGACTCAAGTAACTTAAAAGGTATCAAATCCAGAAATCACAGAATAGCTCTTAGCTGCTTGCTCCTCAACTAGGCAAATTGGAGTCAAGCAGAGAGAAGAAAGACAGAAACAAGTGCCTCTGCTACCTGATAATCAAAGAAGCTCCACTGAGCATAAACATATCATTGTCAGGGGAAGTCCTTAGCAGTGTTCTCTATGCTCCTTCAAGGATGCTGAGCTAAACTCAGGGTTAATATTTACACTGACATAATTGTCCTCCTCCACGTTCCCCTGACTGTAAGCACACACCACACACTGCTGTCACATACACAGTTGTAGGCCTAGTAATTGTCTCGAGGGTGTCAGCGGATGGGCGTGCGGTCCTGCACTGCAGATGCTGCTGGGCAAAGCAGAACGGACAGATAAATTGTGGTAACTAAAGATCATAAAGCCAATAAAAGCTTCCAACCCACAAAACAATAGTCTTAAACTATCCTCTAGGGAAAAATCATTTATTTTAAAATGTGAATATTCTGGTTTCATCCCTTTGGGGTCTAATTTCCATGTACACTTCTGCAGATGGACAGTACATTTTTCAGAAGCATTGCTTCAAATATTAGGAGAGAAAACATGTTCACTAAAATACTAAAAAAAGAAGACAATGTTGCTATCATTTTATGATCTGGTATGCAAGAAATATTGCATTTAGCCAAGATATTACAATTTGATAACAGTTTAGGAAAGCACTTTGAGAACTTTTTTCTCCTTGTGTCCTAAAGCATTGTTGGTCTTGTAACTATGAGCAATGTTGGACGCCGCTATGTAAAAATGACTATACAAAAAATAATCCATCACTTCTCTTGGCTTTTTGCTTATGAAAAGATTTAACACAACATGGCTTAGTTCTCTGAGTGGAAGCTTGCCTCATTAATGCAAATGTTCCTTCGCTCTTTTGATCTGTTTTCTACTAATAAAATCTTCTGTTCCAGGATTTTTACTCACATGAGTCCTTTCTAGCCCAGATGGGATGGGGGGGACATATAGGAAATTATGTTTTCCTGTGTGTGCTAGTATCCGCATATATGTGTGTGAGAGTGTGTGAGTGTGAAAGGGGGGAGCTGATTTCTGGACATGTGTTTTGTTGTGATTGTATGTTACTAGATTTCACGTATGAGCTTGAATGTTTTTCCATGCCTAAACTATTTTGTATGTTTTATGTGGCTTACACAGGTACAGATTGTTACCAAGAAGATAGACTTAAGTCATGTGACATCCAAATGCGGCTCTCTGAAGAACATTCGCCACAGGCCAGGTAAATAGATGAGTTCTACTAGTTTGACAGTTATTTAGTTGGATTCAGGAAACTGACATGCAAACTTTTTGTTGCTGTTGTGAAATACCAAATTGTAAGAGAGTTTCAAAATCCTGATGTACTTATTAATAGAAACTTAAGTGAAAAAAATCACAGAGCATCTTCATTTGATACAAGTGCCCTCAATTACCATAAATGGGCTTCACATCATAAAATGGGCTAAAAATTAAAAGGAATATAAGATGCATATATTTCTATGTATACAACATGTTTATTGGAGGTCTTTCAAAATGCTTTGCTTATAAAATATGTTGGGTCATGTATTCATGTATAACTTTGACTAAAAGAATTATTTCTCGATATTTTTCCTGAAATCATTTTCTATACATTATGTAAAATAAGGATTATGTTTACAACAGAACAAACTATTTAGCTGTTTTCAGATCCTTTATTAAGTCAATAAGTGCTATAGTCCTCAAGAGAATACAGTGCTTCCCCAATTTATATAACCATAGACCCCCCTCTTTTAAAAAATACCTTATAGGACTTGTGCTCTAAAGTAGAATTTACAGTCGTACTTACTGGGAGTTTACCCCTTTAAAATACAAATCTAACATGTTATGAGCCATTTCTTCTGAGTATCGTATAATACTTTTGCTGATTTTGCCCACACTCATATGTAATAATGCATAATTGTGAAATCTGTAGTTTTATTGACAGAATTTTGACATAATTTATATATCTAGTTGTATGATGCAAGGACAGAAGGAAAGTAACCATGATTCTAACCACCTATGCTCAGAATCTTAACATACAAGCTAGATAATACTTATTCTCATTCATCATTTCTTCAAAATTGATCAGAAACAAAGTATAAAAATAATTGAGCTGAGTAAGATTTCTGGTCAGAAGAAGATTAATAAGAATTTATTAGTGGAAAACAAAGATGGGCAAGATAAATTCACAACAGAAAAACAAATTAGAAACATCCAGAAATCAGGCCTCATCTTGTTGGAGATGCTCAGAGAGAAGCCAGGGAGCTGGGGAACATACCCGTGGGTCTCCATGACTAGTTCCAGAATTGCTAGTGTGGAAGTAGCTTCAGTGCTGTTCATGAAGCAGCAGCAACATGTGCATGCTGCATCTTCATAATTTCTCCATCTATGGCTGCAGTTCACACTTAATTAACTTTGTACTGCTCTGTCCTCATATGTCTGAGGTATCTGTTCACAATGACTGTTTCCTTGCAGATCACAAAAGAAAATGCTAGATTCTTTCAGTCAGAGTGATAAGGACAGAGTTAGTCAAATTTACCTAGGACTTGGATACATAGAAAAATAAGGAAATATTCTGTGTATGATCTTCTGGTTCTAAAAGACTATTGTCATAGACTCCCACTTATTTCTAAATCTAGCTCTTGATTCTATTATGACTGAAGCAGATAACTCAATTCACAAAGAAGTGTAGTGTGATGATCATTGACAATAGCAAGCTTTTCACAGAGTTACTTTGGAACATAGAAGATCTAAGGAAAAAAAGAGAAAATACTCCAGCACCTGGAGGCACAAATGGAAATATCTGAACTTCACTTCTGAAGCTTCATAAAAATTATACTCTTTCAAAATTACTGCTTCTGATGAGTTCCGGAGTTCTTCAAAACCAAAAGCAGAGATCTCTGAATTCATTTTTTTTTTTTTTTTTGGTTTTTCTCCGGTACCGGGAACCAAACTCACGACATTGCGCTTGCCAGGCAGGCGCTTTGCCACTGAGCTAAATCCCCAGCCCTAGATCTCTGAATTCAAATGGGTGTCTCTGAGAACTGTATAAGAATTTCATCAAAAGTTCTCTTTCAACTGAAATAGAGTACTCAAGCCTCATTTCCTGAATATATTTTGGGTCAATATCACATTATTATTTTTTTCTCTCTAAACACTGTTCAAAGAAAATGTAACACATTTATGTTGATATAGCATATAATCAGAAAAAAGCTTAAGAGAGTAAATTCTATCAAGCGTATCACAAAAAAAATCCAAAATAAGATACCAAAAAATTGTTCTCAACTAGTTGAACACATAATATCCTCTAACCTCTATTGACGATAATTATATTTTTATGAATCCTTATGAGTCATGCTAATCCCATTGTAGCCCACAAGTGAGACCCACAGGTCGGTAAAAATGTGAGAAAAATAACCTCCCTTTGAAGGATCCATACTTGGAGGGAAAAATAACCATATGTGTCCTAGAAGCCTGAGTTACATAACAGTGTACACATCCTAAGTCTTCAGGAGAGTGAATATATATTTCTCCAAAATATAAATCAGTAATACTTTATAATTTCAAGAGGTCCCTCCCAGGCAATTGGGTGTTAACATAAATATCCGTGTGGTGCACGAAAAAAACACAGCAAGGTTTAAGAGACCTGTGAAGTTTCTCTGTCTTTGGTCTACAGAGAAATGCAATTATCAAGAATCCAAACCTGAGCAATCTTATTTACCTTTCCATAGACCTCTTCAGACATTTTTCCTAAATCAGAATCCCATGAAATGCAAATAGTAGAAAGTCTTTATCCACTGCTAGCCTCCTAGAAGAATGCATATGGTTGAAACCAAGTTGTTGATGAAAATGAACCAAATCTCGTAGGTGCATATGGGTAAAGAGGAGTCTAATGCAGCTTCTTTTCAGTCAAAGACATCACAAACACTTAACAGTAGTCAAGGGAGAGGCTAAAGGACAACAGAAACATACAAGGTAGCAGATACCCTACATTTGGAGCCTGAGAAGGGCATGCTGAACGGAGGAAGGCCACACTGATTGAAGGAAGCATCCTAACAATCAGCAGAGCCTCAAGTTTCAGACTCATCAGCATTAGGTTACAATTCTCTCATGTTTTATCAGAGCAGGTCAGTGTCAGATTGGTGCTATGGCCTCTGTAGAAGAATTTTCTATGATTCTTTTCCTTTTGTGTGCTAGCTACAGTGAGAAGATTTTAAAGCTTACTAGTTATAAACAACTCAGTTCCAGACTCAATCCATCTGTGAAGTCATCAATGTCAGAAATTTGCAAATGACAATGGTCATCTCTCAGTATTCAGGGAGGGTTGGCTCCAGGACCTCCTGCAGAGATCCAGATCTGTGGATGCCCAAGTCTGTCATACAAAATTACACAGTATTTGTATAGAAACTGTATACATCCACCCATAAATTTTAAATAACCTTAAGAATACTTTAACTACCTAATACAATGTAAGTGTTGTATAAGTCCTTCTTATATTCTTTAAGGACTGGTGACAAGAAAAATTCTGTACATGTTTAGTGCCAATGCAACTTTTTCCCGAAATATTATCAATCCAAGGATGCAGAATCTGTGGTTACAAAGGGCCAGTTGCGTACTGTCTTTATGTGTACCACTCCAGCCTCAAACTTCTTTGGATAAATAGTTTGCTACCATGAAGAACAATAAAGAAGTGTTTTATTTCAATTTAATTTACTCCACTTAGTAATAAAAGACTACATATTCAAAGTTTCAGACAGGATACAATTGAATATTTTTATTGTGTTAATTTTAGAGCTTTTGTTATATCAGTAAGAAAAAATCCTCTGATTCTAAACTATACATAGGTTAAGAAAGAAGATATTAACATGTGATGCAGTCTATATGATGGTTTAATAATGATGTCAGTATTTTGGATCATTGGGGAAAGTTGTACAGACTATAAACTCTACAAGATTCCTTTCACATCTGTGTTCAGAAGGAGAGTAGTGTCAGTGCTTGTAGTCTTCCCTAATCTGTTTGCTGTACTCAGTTTAGGGAAAGAGTCATCACCAATATTAGCTTTAATTTTAGCAAGGCATTTAAAAAGCCTTTCTCCTCTCATAGGTGGTGGACGAGTGAAAATTGAGAGTGTAAAACTGGATTTCAAAGAAAAAGCCCAAGCTAAAGTCGGTTCACTGGACAATGCTCACCACGTACCCGGAGGTGGTAATGTCAAGGTAAGCCAGGTGTGTGTTTTTAGAAAACTGTTGTGAAGTACTCTTTCACAAAATGGATCCCAGTTTGCAGATCTAGACAAAAGAAAGGAGGGGTGGCACAGCTGAGTGGAAATCACATTCACACCAGCTCGGGGATGCAGGGGAAGAGCTAGGAACCAGCTGAGGTGTCTGAGCTAATGAGGACTGGTGTTTTTATTGGACAGATTGACAGCCAGAAGTTGAACTTCAGAGAGCATGCGAAGGCCCGTGTGGACCACGGGGCTGAGATCATCACGCAGTCCCCAGGCAGGTCCAGTGTGGCATCACCCCGACGACTCAGCAACGTCTCCTCTTCTGGAAGCATCAACCTGCTCGAATCTCCTCAGCTCGCCACGTTGGCTGAGGACGTCACTGCTGCGCTGGCCAAGCAAGGCTTATGAATCCTCATTTAGCATCGGAGTCATAATACTTAGGCATGAGCTCTTGGCAGGAGTGAGCTCTGAGCAGGTGTTACATTCATTCTTTACAAACCATAAGATAAATAATCTCATCCCCAAACTGTAGTCATTGTTACAATTTTATATAAAAATGAATAGTATATGCAGAAATCAACTTCCATTTGCAACAGGAACACACTGGCTTTACATGGGTACAATTGGACAGTTATTTTCGCTCTGCTCTGTTTTGCATGGAGTATTATTATTATTTTAAAAAATGCATTTTTACCTTTCATGTGCCTGAAGGCTACCCACTACATTCTGAAAGGCCTTGTTAAAATCCAAGCTGCTCATTTCACTATTCTGTTTCTGGGTGAAAAGTTAAAAACTGCCCATCGTAACTTATTACAGGTTAAATAAAATCAAGGAGTATGAGTGCAGGAAGGGAAGAGCATGTAAGAAATAAGTCTTTTTAAAGTGTTATTTTGTATAAATGGGAAGAAAGATTCAGTTAAGTTATTAACATTTGGGACCTGGATAATTATATCAGAGTATCAATCCAATAAATTATTTAACTAACTAAAAATGTTACAAAGCATTTGAGCTGTGGTTGAGGAAATGGTGTAAAAGTGCATCTTCTAGGAAGGATGCACTTTCCTTAGGATGGCTTTGTGTCTGATTAGAATGTCAGTTGATCGGCTAGATTTATGTCCACAGTACCAGTTCCACACCCCCTTTCCATCTGTTTGATACAGTATTATAGATATAAATATATATATATATATTTCTCTGTGGCCATTTGTGATACTTCCTCATATACTTGAATATTATACTTCTTTATTCACAGTATCTGTGTCTCCTACATCCTTTGGTGTTGCAATTTTAGGTATGTGAAAGTAGATGTTAGCAGGGTTCTCTCCCTATTTAAAAAATACATTAAAAAAGACAAAAAGTTTTAGCATGAAGTTGCTTTCTGTAACAACTCAAAGCTGTAACCCTGTTTTAGTGCCAGATACAAGTCTCTCTCCCGTGATGCTAGGAAAAATATTTTTCTTTGCTTTCACCAACATGGAGTTGTGGGGGTGGGTCCAGTTATATATAAAAGGGTTTACAGATTGTTGGTTTAAGCTTATGGATTTATCTCATTTTTAATCACAGAATAGTTTTGTTTTTATTCCTACAGTCATTCATGAGACAAGCCTCTTAAGATTCCTTTTCTTTTTTTTTCTTCATTTGCTAAAGTTGAAAATTAGACAGGTAATGTGGGACATGTTTTCCCATTCTTCCAAGTAGTACCTGAGTATTAAATTCTCTAGTAGAAGATGTTTGGCCTCCTAACCCAAAGTAAAGATCATTCAGTCAACAAGGAAAAATACAACATTTTGAGAAACTATCATTATAAAACATCTGAGACACAGATATCTAAATCGGTTTTTTTCCATAGGACTTTGACATTGCATTCTGTAAAGGAACTCGATGTGACTTATTTATCAGTAGATAATACTGTTCTGATTTAATATACAATTTGGAAATCATAAGTCAATTAATTAATCCCACTTGCAAATCATTCATCTGAGCAACGAAATAGTCAATGGTCTGAATAGGGCAGAGTTACCAAACTGGATGGACACTTTTCGGCATTTTATCTGTTCTTTCTCTTGCTCAGGGCTGGTAGGCTGGATCTGAACAGTTAAACACAAGGTCTGTTGGGTCTTTGATCCCTGTAGGACAAATTAGTTCTTGAATAAAAGGATGAGATGTAAGCATGGACTGGACAGTAAAGAAGTAGAGAAATATAAGACACTAAGCCGAGGAATGCAAAGACAGAAGACGTAAGCCGCCATTTTGATGAGTCACCGGATATAGCAAGAACATGACTGCCACAAGAAAAACCTAGGAACAAACTTCTCCATTCTTTTTCAGCTAGGAGATTTAAACAGGCAAATATGTCGTGAGCCTTTTCTAAGTAGGTTATTTTGGAAAAAACTTAGCAGCTACTGAGAATTAGGGATGCGACATTTTCAGCCTAGTAACTACAGTGAGACTTGATCAATCTTGGCAATTTATTCATCACCTTCCCTTGAAATGCACCAGGAACTAGGAGAAAGAATAGTTGGGTGGAGAGTTCGGTATTTTCTTACATGTTTGAGAGTGTTAGATAATGATTGAAGTTCTCTAGAAAAGTTAATAGCTGGTTAGAACAGCTTTAACCTGTGAAAAAAAATCTTTCAACCTGGTTTAATTTTTTTTTTTATAAAAGTGAAGACTAAGGAAACACATTTTACCTATTAAAATTCAGTTTTTCCAATTACACATCCAAAATAAAAGTTACAAAAGGCACCAAGTTAATAGATTTGGCATTAAAACAAGTGTTTATTCCTAATCACAACAAAATTATGATGAATTAGTGCCCTGGTTTTGCACAAAAATGTTATTGTTTACATAATTAATAAAAATGAGCTGAAAGTTTGTGCCAGTAAAGCGAGAGAAACACAGGCTAAAAATGTCTTTTTGTGGGTGTCTGAGGCAGATCCCATCTTACCTTCACTCTCAAGCTAACGACGTAAATTAAGCTTTTTGAACACCACTTTTGTGGGGACACACATACGCTGATCTAGAAATGAAAGCTTCCTAGTTCCATTTCTAGATCTACTAATGCCAGTTTCTCTCTGGCTTTAGCCTTTGAGAACCTGTTTAAGAATACATAAGTAATCCAGAGCTGTGAAGAGTTAAAAGGCCGCCTTGTCCAATGAACTCACTCTCTCTGGGTCACCTGCAACTAAAAATTGGATGCCGCGCAACAGTGCAGGGAAGATCCGAGATCCTGATGAGTTTTAAAGGCCAGGTTCATTGAGGAACCAATGAACCAGCTCGCTCTGGATTCACCTGCTGAGTTCCAGCAGGGTGATGGGCTGAAGTCCCACCCATAAGCAAGACACCTGTGTAGCACTAGGTAGGTATGGCTGAAGAAGAATAAAACTAGTACCATTACATAGAAGACTATACTGACGGTAGCTGGCCTCCACACACGTACAGTAAGACTGCAGAAGCAGGCTCATCAGCCAAAATATAACATTATGTCAGTATTGTTAAAGAAATAGCCTGAATGTGGTTGATTCTGCTACAATTACTGTTTTTCTCCTGTTTTTTTAGGCCACAAAAAAAGAAAAATAAATGATTCATAGTCTAAGTAGCAAAGATACGTAGATTCTTGGTTTGGGAAGGCAAATTCCAGGCATTTCTTCTAAGATAGATGTGTTAAAATCAGCACGGATGTTTGTTTTTTATTTTGGGGCATTGTTTTTTTGCATCTAGAATTTTTAGCCTGAGTGCGTAGGTTGAGGCCAAGTCCCTCTGCAAGAAAAAGATTATTTTCAAACTCAAAATAATGTCAGTCATAAAAGTCCACTTCAACTTTAGCAAAAAGAAAAAAAAAAAAACAACAAAAAAGTTTACTCTGTATGCTGGGATTCCAGGGTTCCAACAAGCCATGACAAACCTGTGGGGGGTTTCTTTCTTCTGATAATTCTAGAGCCTGTTACCATAGAAAGGCATTTCTTCAATGGCTGGTTGTAGTTAGTTCATGTTTTTCAATCAAATTTGCAAATGTATTTGTTGCTGTATAGTGATTGTTTTGCAAAATAAAATTGCTTGTCACCTCATAGCTAGTTTCAGGTTTTTTGTTTCTTCATTTTAGAGGAGTGTGTATGTGTATTCAACCCAATTAATGAAAAACTGTGAAAAGAAAGTTACCATGTGCTGAATTCCTACTATGTGTCATCTCCAATACTAGGTAATGTTATATTAACTCATTTAATTGATAAAGACATTGTCTCTCATCACAGCTGTATTCACAGGATGCTATCTGTTGCCAGTGACTGAAACTCAAACTAAACTGGCTTATGCATAAAGTTGAATTTCTTGAATCAAGCAGCCGGTTAGTTGGGTATGTCTGCCCCAGGCATGGTTGGATCTAAGCACTCAAGAGATGTTATCAAAAACTCTTCTTTCTCCAGCTCTGGATCCAGACACCCACCAGATGCTATCAAGAAACTTTTTTTTCCCCAGCTATTGGTTCTGCTTCTTCTGTGCCTCAATCTCAAACAGGCACCCTCTCTGTGATAGCACCAGCAACCCCCAACTTTGCATCCTGCCAAAGACAGCCTCTTTCTCAGTAACAGTAGCCAACATGCAGGATCTGAAAATCACTGAACTACTAAAATCACCTGCTCCCTTACGCTTATGGACCAGACTTGGGTCACAGAACCAACCCTACAGGTGGACGGGGTAGGAGGAGCTAAGGGGAACAGGGCCTCATCTGAATTGCATAAACTGATCATGAAGGGGAAGTCATATTTCCAAAGTGAAGTCACACTGCTCTTGCTGAAAGAGTGAGAAAGTGATCTGTATAGGTCATAATAACAAATATCTCCCACATCCACACAACCTATTTTCTATCTTTATTTAATTTGCTACGCACATTAAGCATACGCCTTGCTTGAGGGCATATTAGAAATGTAAATTCTCAGGCCCGAAGCCTGACCAACTAATACAAGTTATAATCCACCTAGATGATACATCTGCATTTTAAAATTTGAGAAGTGCTCAGCTCATCCAATTTCTGGCAAAAATGGTCAAAAGAAACGTTCTCCATTCCACACTCTAACATAAAAAAAAAAAATGTTCCTAAAGACTATCTGAGACAATACCAGTATCCCTGGTGCCAAGCAGTTGAGATACCAGTGGTAGGAAGCTGCCACTGGCAAAGGAATATTTATGTTTTAGATGCTTTACATCCCTCAGATATCCTGGCTTGGCTAACAACTTCTCTATTAATGACCTCACCACTTCCCATTCAGCCTTCTTTGGCTAATAAAGAGATTTGATATAATCTAGCCAAAATCACTGGGATTTCTTTTTAACAATCTTTAAAATGAGCAACTATGTGGTCCTTCAAAGAGTGAATCTTTAGAAATTCAAGGAACTAAGGCATTTGTTCACCCCACAGAATAAACCCCAATAAAATTCTTGATTCCCTTTTTTTATTATCAAGCCAAACATGGTGATACTCAGCTTGAGAAGAAACAAGGAACTCAGGTGTAATATAGGATGACAGGAGAATATTCTATAGCTTATATCTTCCTCTTTTCATTTACAAAGTGCCACTTATATTCAAAAAATGACTCAAATAATTCGGAGATAGAATGCTGTCAAAAGTACAGTCTAGCCACTTACACTTGTTTTAAACACCAGTCCTTTGTCAGTTTTTCTTGGACGTGTTAAAGGACTATCACAGATCCCCCACACACACACCTCTGTTTCTTTCCCTTGCTTTTTCATCATAAATATGGTTCCGCGCTCCGGCTTCTGCTCTTCAAACTGCGCACTATAAAAGACCCCTGAGCTGAAGCAATAGACCTGCGGCCTGCAGGTATGCCCTGTGTGGGTGCCATGGAGTCTTCAAATTCAAGTTCACATACACACACACAAACACACACACACACACAGAGCACACACACGGCATACACGTGCATGCACACACACTAGGTTTGCACATTCTTTGAAAAGTGAACAGATTTGGCAACCCTGGGCCTGCATTCCCTCAGGGTACCACTCAGCTGAACCCGGTCCCTGCGGACCGCTGTGTTGGGTTCCTTGCCTGCATTTGCCACATATCTTGTCTTCGGTGCCGGTTTCCCTCCCAACCACTGCGTCCACTTTCAGCTTGCTGGAGGCCTCACACCGCAGATTTTGAGTTCAAACCCCTGAACTAGACCTCTTTCTTTCTCTCCTTCCCAGTTTCTTCCTCATTCTATGAAACAAACATTTAAAAAAAAACCGAATTGGAAAACAAACTTCGAGAAAGCATATTAATTTGACAGTAGCAACTGGTAATTTTCATGTGCCTTATAAAAACATTTAACATCCACTTATGTATATCATTAAATCAAGGTAAAATGAAAATTATGTTTCTCCCTGTTTTGCCATATTGTGATAACAAAACCTTGTTGTCAAGTAAGACATGACAAAATCATCTTATTTAGTAGCCTTGAATTTATATAATACTTTCCTCTTACTTTTAATAGCAAAGCAGGAAAAACAGAAAATGTTCCAGTTTAGTCAAGCGAGTACAAAGCTGTTAAACTCAGGGCTGATCTGCAGGCAGCAGACCCTTATGCAGCTGATTAAGTCGCTGATTGAAGGCCTTGCTCTCCATGCTCCCCCTCGTTACCACTGCCTGCCTTTGACCACGCGGCACTGTCATGCTGAGCCCCACGGTCATCCTCTAGTCTGTCACGGTGCAGAGCCTCCAAGATCCCGTTCCACTCCCTACAAGGTTCTCCCCTCCAGGCCTCACCAGGGGGCTCTAGTGGACTGGCCTGTGTCTGGCCAGCAGTTTCAGGAAGCTCAGATGGGCACTGCAGAAGGTCTGTGTGGGCACCTGCCAGCCATGGCTCCTACTTCCCTACCTGTCCCTGCCTTGCCCTCCCTAGACTCCTAAGTCAGAAGACTGGAACCAGGAGGCAACGGTGTTTTGGTGACATCCCGATAGGCAAACACCTGGCACTCATACAGTCATACCCAGACTATGATCACCTGTTACCAGTCTCCACCTCTCCCAGACCCCTCATGTGGTTGCTGACGGAAACTGCCATGACCACAGACTCCAGCTCTTAGTGTAGCATACACAACAGGTGCCACAAAGGTGACTTGGGATCCTGAGGCCAACAGGAATAGGTGGCTATGAGCAGTTGATGGTTCCCAGGGGGGTGATTTGGAGCTAACAAGTGCCTAACATTAGGACTTTCTATATTCTGAGAATCCATCCCCATTTTAAACTTCACCCAAAGCCCAACTGATATGGACGTTAACAATGTATGCTAATTTGATGGTTATAACCAGACATCCTTTTAATATATGTTGACTCCTAAGAATACTGCATGTGTCAGCATTCCCATTTTATACATAAAGAGTGAGAAATAAAATTGCTTTAAAATTTAATAGCATAGACAGGATTCAAATTCAAGCAGCTAAACAGATGTTTCATCCAATGTACAGTAATAGGTTTGACCCAATTAAATTCTGTAATAAACAATTTGTATGTTAGTCAATAATAAAGATATCAAATACATATATAAAATCTCAGTTTTACTAAGTCTAGAAAAAAATCATGAGCTTGCTATTAATTCAGAAAATGAAGCAGAATTATAAATGATAAAGATATCATCTATTTATAGAGAAATTCTCTTTTAAAAGACATCCAATGACAACTAATTAAATGAGAAGATGTTGGAAAAATTCCCGTGGTTCTCTGTATCAAATACTGCTTGTGCAAAGCGTCATTTATTTTCCTTTTTTTTTTTTTTTTTGGTACTGGGAATCAAATTCAGGACCCTGTGCTTGCCAGGCAAGTGCTGTGCCTCTGAGCTATATCCCAGGCCCAAGGCATCATATTTTTTTAATTTTAAAGAGAAAAAAAATTTCAAAACAAGATAATAGGAGGGTAACAATGGCTAATACATTGCATATTGTTATCTTTAAATTAGTTACTCAGAGTACAAGATATAGGCATTTTAAGGCATCATTTAATAAGTGGCATCTGTTATCAAGTAAAAATCAACTATTTCTAAAATTCAACAATTTATTTGGAAATTATAAGACAAATCAGATAAAGTATCTATACTACAACCACTCAACAAGGTGTTACATTTTTTACATAGAAAATAAAGTTTTTTAATGTATGTGTTAATTTCTGTGTCATGTACTTGGCACTGAATGTATTAACATCATCCTTGCTTCCAACACGATAATAGCTTTCTCACAGGCTATTTTTTCTTTCTATATTATTACATGAATAAAAATTTTTTCCTTTAATTCCAAATATGGTATGTTACTGGGATTTTCATTATGAAAACAAAGCTGTACAGTTCACTGCATCAAATATGAAAATATCTGAACATGCATTTAAACAGTCTTATTTAATTTCAAATATTAGTTAAAAATGCTGATTTTCACTAGAATTAGAAAACTCAGACAGAAATACATGCCACGGAGACCCCTCAGCCATTTTCCTGGATCAAATGTAGAAAAAGCAGAAAGCATGCATTATGTGGATAGCAGAGTACCAACACAGTATTTGTCCGATCCTGTGTAACCAGTATGGCGGTCAAGTATGACTCATGTCAATTGTCATCAAAATACAAATTTAATTTTTGTCTGTCAGTGGGAGAAAAATCTTCCCCTGCTTGGGCAAACCCAAGACTTTTACATCGCTTTCAGATAATAAAATGCTGTGGGTAGTATGAAGAGTTTTTAAAGAGTTTCAATTTAGAAATTAAAATTTCCAGCCCATGGAATAGTCAGAATTCTGATCCTGATGGTGTAAGATGCCATCCTGCGCAGCTCTTGAAATTACTGATGGGAAGGACGGTGGAGGATGAGGAAATGAAGACAAGAGTCAGAATATAGAAAGCTGAGGTCAGGTAGAACCCTCTCTGCTGATGGGAGAAAAGGAACTGCCCAAGACTACGGTGTGTTTATTTATACAGTCAGCAAGAGGTTGATAACAGGTGAAAGCCCTCTCCTATGGCTCGCCCAGGGCACTCCATGTTCTGGGGCTGGCCTTGCTGTAGCCGTGCTTGTGTGGTTGATCTCCAGCTCAGC